CTCCGGCGCCTTTTTCTCGTAAATGACCGTTTGGGTCACATTTAAAAACCCACTTACACATTAAATCTCAATGTCACAAAAAATGAGAGCCCACGAGAAAAGTCGAAGATGAATGTATTTTCTGTCAGCTACATAACTTTCTCTGGTGATCTTCTTATTTAAACCCCTCTTCAGTATTGCATTTCGCTGACGGAAGTCTCCGCACTTTGTCCTTTTATATGTTGAGGTTGAGCAGAAATTGACACTTTGGACCGATTTTTCACTTTCCCAATAATGCTAGTAACGTTTTTGCAGCAAGCAAAAGAACTTGCTTTCCCGTTTTTATTGTCGCCGTTTTCGCTACTTTCGCTTGCGTTAAGGCTCTTTTCTACGATTATAAATGCACTGAAAAGCACATTTGAATAAAGTATTGTCTTTAGGGGCACGAAATAACACCATTTTGCATATCGAACTTTTAAAATCGATAACAGAGCTGGTTCGTTAAATATAGCCTGTTTGCTCGTAGCCCGCATTAATCGGCTAGTGGCGGTCCACACACCACAGTTCAATCGCGGCGTGTTCTGAGGTTAATTGACCCATCCTCTCAAAGTCAAGCACGCTCGAATGCGTCAGTTATGTCTACGAGAGCTATCAACATAGGAAATTGTCCGATTGTAAACTGACGTAGAGTTGTGCCCAAAGTCACAAGCTTTTTTCGAAAAATACCTAAATACATATTTTTCGTGAAAATAGACATGTTCCAGAAGTAGGTAACTGCCTGATGACCATTTCACTCTCCGTTACCACTTCTTAGCATTAAGTCACATACTTTGAGAAACGAAAATCAGGAAATAATCATTCAAAAGAAGATGCAGTCACAGGAAAAAGAAGTGTATTGGCCTGACGTTTCAGATTCTCAATCTGTTGGGAGGGTCTACATTCCCAAATCGAGAGCCAGCCAATCAATGGAGGCCACGTGCGTGTTCTCTACAGCACTGTCTTGGCGCCCCTCTATTGGCTGCTCCCCTCAAGCCTTATCGATCAGCTCGTCCAGAATGTTCTTCAGATTGGCAAAGTTGAGATATCCGGGTTGATTAATTGAAGACGAAGACAGGCTCTCCGGAAGGGTTTATTTAAGTGCTGACGTTTCAAAGAGCTGGGTCGGCTCTTCATTGTCAAAGCGTAAAATGCACTTAATCGATCAGAAATTTAATTTGAAGTGGCAGTCGTGTTGGCCGGCCTCATGCTGATGGATTTTTCCCTCCTCTCACTGCCTCGGCCTCTCGGGAGATGGTTGACGGGCGTTTTGCCTGTGTGCATTGTGAGTCACCACTCCGTCGAGGGGAACTGATTGGACTTTAGTCGGGCGGTTGGTCTGGCGGTTCTCCTTCTTCCTCACCGAGTAGACTCAGCGTCGGGCTATCTCCGTGCTGTCTTCTTAAGTTCGGTGTGGTTGTTTGGTCCTGAGCTTTACGATTGTGATGACGTTGGACTTTGTAAGCTGCAAGAAGGTCCAGATGCCTGTTGATAGATTGGGCATCGGAGAACCACGCCTCGAGAGTTAGCCGTTCTGTTTTTGTGTTGCCTCGGAATAAGATGGTAGCCCTCTGGAGGTCAAAAGTATGTCCCGTTTCTCCAACATGTGCTGCTGGTTGAGAGTTAGGGTCTAACCTCCGAGTGGCGCTTTGTGTTTTTGTAGGCGAGTTTGCAACTTCCGCCCGGTTTCCCCCACATAGTTGCAGTCACCCTCATTGCAATTTATTTTGAAGATGACTGCTGAGGTTTCAGTTACAGAATTTTCTTCCCAAGTGCATTGGGACGAGTGCAGGCGTACCTCAGTAGGATGTTATAAATACGCGTTACTTTCCCATTTAGACTGAACTTACAGTTCCAAATGCCTTTTTTCGTGGCCGATTGTGTTCTCCTCCGCAGCTTTGGTACTGAGGACAAGAGTCGAGTGTGCATAAGTTCCATGGATTTCAGATGCCAGACCAGGTCATAACACACTCGATCCCATCATCAGAGACGGTCGCAGATAAAGTTGCGCTTGCAAAAAAGAATTATTTAGGAGACGAACAAATTTTATTTTTCTTATTTTCAATACTTTTTATTCAGGCCGTCGTCAGAAATGCAGTTGGTATGTGAAACAGATAGCTTTTGGAAGGGCCCTGAAAATATCAGTACTCGTCTCTTTTTTCTGCTAGTGGATGGCCATCTGGTTTGGATTTCCAGCAGTTTCTTGCAGTTTTCCTCCAGCATTTGATTCATGACGGCTAATTCCATGTGTTCATTAATGCGTGCATAATCAGGGCGCATGGCTACGACAAGCTGGCTTCTTTTCTTGGGTAGACGGACGCCATTAATGCTGCTTTTGTCTCAAACAACTGTGTAATCAGTATTTAGTGTTTGGATGACTACTAGGACAAGCGGTTTACCCATCGTACTGCCAACTCATTTTGATGAATGCCTTTTTGGGGCTGAGTTTCTGATTTTCCTCACATTACTGACGTCGCAAAAAAATTTGTGACCGAGTTCTTTCTTATTTAAATAGTCGACTCTTTCGCCAACATATATAAACTGGCGAATAGTGTGGTCATTGTCTAGGTACCATACGTAATTTTTTACTTTGATGCATGTAAAAACGCAAGTCAAAGGAAAAGAAATAAAATAATTCCAATTTGACGCCCTTATCATGATCCTGGCGAAGCTTTCTTACATGAAGTATGTATTTAAATGCAAAGAGGTACCTAGATAAGTGACAGATGTTAATGATATTAAATTCGACGACTACACCTAGAGTGGCGGTGCCTTGTTAAAACTGATATAAAATTTACTTCTTGGTACGTTTATTGTCTTACGCACTTGCTGTGGTTCACAATCTAAGTAAACGGTATCGAAGACATGCAGAAAACGTATGTTAACTTTGCAGGGAGTCCATTTAGCTTCGACATATGAGGACACGGCAGCCCGACCGTTGTTGTCGACGATGTCCACCGTGTGCTCCACAGGAAGTTGAAAGCAGGCGCGGTCACGCGTTCGTAAATTAGTTTATTCTGGCAGTAGACTTGCACAGTGTTTACCGCACTCTCGCCCCCTCCCACGCCTGAGCTTGGTGCCAAACCATAATTGAGAAAACCGGAGGTGAGAGAGAACGCACCTAGACGCACCGCCACACTCCCTGGTATACAGCAAACACTTGACCAGGATATGAGGACTTAAAATGTTGGGACAGTCACAGATCTGCTTACATGAGAGGTTTGTCCCGTTGCCCATTTGTTGTAAGATCTGCAACCCACGCAATGTGTTGGATAACGACCGCAGGATGTCGGTTGGAATCCCCAATCGGTCAGAACTGAGAGCAGGCATGACTGAGTGGCGTAGACTCGTAAGTTAAAACTGGTCATCGCAGTTTTCCTTTATGTATCGGTGTTCTTCTCTGTCTACATATGACATTCAAACGTCTGTATTACACCATTTTTTTATCTACAGATACTTTTCCACTGACTTATTCGACACCTTGCGGTCAGTTTGACTAGGTCTTGTACAATCTATCTACCAGCTGTCATTGCTGGCATGCGGCATATTTACATCCGTAATTGACTTTGACTCTAAAACGCAATTTTCACCTGGTGTGCATAGGCAGAGTATCGTTCGGTGGTCTAACTGGGTAGAGGCTCAAAAGATTGGGCGATTAGCAGTGTATATGTATACTCAAATCTACAGCAAAGTCTGCATTGATCATTCTGCGAATATTTTCATGTAATATTTGAAAAATCGAGTTAGAAAAACTACTTTCACGGTATCTCATCATCAGGCACATTTACTTACACAGAAATGAAAAGTATAGACGGTTACAAAGTTCATAATTGCCTCGGGGGTCATTAACATTTGTCTTTCCACGCCACCCACATGGCGAGGTCGGCGGGTCACGGTCATTGGGGCAATGAAGGTGACGCACTGTGAGTGATGCCAGTGAACCGGATATGTGGAGTGTGTGAACAGCCAATGTGTCCCGCTCCACAGCGAATTAGTTAATACACGTCGATGGTGCCTGCGACGGTAGTCGGTGTTAACCTCCTCTTTTTGAAGAAACGGGAAAAATATCTATGGATTTCTTCAAAAATGACGGCTGTGTTAATTTCAGATCTTGAGGATGTTGATGGTTTGGATAGTAATCTTGGGGGGGTTTGTAAACTAACTCACGTTTTCTTCCAATATTCCGGCAGAATATAATTGAATAGCGTGACTATGCTGACAGGACATGGAATTCACATTTCTCTCAATGGTAGTAGAGCGAAGGAATGGAGGTACTGTACTGGACGGAACCATCCGCAGTATTGTGTAGATGACTACAAGAACAGGTCCACTGGTTGTCACCTTGGCATTTTGAACTTTTTACAACGAGAGGTCATTGTTCCCCAAACATCAAACCACTTGGGATCGCAAGCGTGGCATATTTTTATCCTACTTATAGTAGGATTCACTTCGACGTCTCCAGTCCAGCCATTTTATTGCAAAACGGCAAACATATCCGTTAAAAATAGGCCTAATTTACTGCACATGGTTACAGCATCGACCTGCCTGCAGTCTGCGCAAACGCTCGCGATATTTCGGCTGACATCTTTAATTTAACGTCCATTAGAACCTTTTACTCAATTGCTCGTCATGTACCGAGGGACAAAAACGATCACTGTCTGCCATACGTAGAAAAAATGACCCCATAACTAGTGTTCATCTTTTCGCTTTTTGACTTTACATGTTTTTATTCATTTGTGCGTACTTCTGCCTGTGGAAAATACCAGACGCCCACTGGCGGGCGGTAATTAACCCAAAATAACTCTCCCGCGAACTCTGGGGGTTTTACCGTGTGAGTTGTAGACAGTGCAGTCAGATGGCGAGACTGCACTACGCACCTCGAGGATTTCGATCTTTATAAAAACCAATCAGTATTTCCCAAAAACTTGATGTAAAAGTTCGCAGGTATCCGTTTGCTTCACACAACAATCCTGTGCTTCCAAAAGATGTATCGAAAACTGGTACTTGCTGCAGTGCACCTGATGGCTTTGGGCGCCCTTTCCTGTATACCGACCACAGGTTTGTTGCTATTTTTAAAATACATAAAATTCTACTTTCAGGCATCATCAGTACTGATTCGGACGTATGCATAGTTCCGACAAAAATCTCGTCGCCGCTTAATGCTGAAGATCTTTTATCCAAAGTGATAAATAACAATCATCCATTTCCTGGCGGACGTGCATTGAACTGCACGGCCAAAATCACTGCATTGAAATTCGGCAAAGGAAGCACCTGCAGGACTGAGATCAGTCAAGTATCCTACAGCGCATTAACATGTTATTTGGATGTAAAGTTAATTTCGGGTTCCTTTAAATGCGAGGTAAATTTAAACGCATCTTTGTTTCTCCCAATAGAACCTTATTTATGCATTACGCGATTGAGTTTCAAGCTGAATCTTCATGCACATTGATATCAGAGTTTTGAGTTACCGTCAGAAGACTAAGCCTATTACTTCTCCTTAAGTAACATCCTTAGATGCAATTTTGCCAGAAAATTGCGTTGTTACGTTTGACGGCGCCACATTTTAAGGCCGTCATAACGTCCTGTCGCTTGTTAGTGTAGTCTAATGTTTGATTGCAATATTCTGACTGCCGTACCAAATAGTTAATCCTTGAGTGTTTCCATCGAGCATATTTGATTAAAGAACATAATGATATGTTAGCTGGAGTCGATGAGATATTACCTGACATTCAAAGGCTGCAAACACGGAGCTTTTGGAATAGATGCTGTGCAGTGCTCATTTACTCTACTACAATGAACGGATGCATTTCAAACTGTAAACACTCTAGACATTTCTTTCGGTGGCGGTGGTTAATTGGGCCTCATTTAACTCGACACCTGACAGCTGTCTCTAGTCCCTTGGAAAAGCTTCATGGGTACCCATTTCCCTTGACATACTTATGATTTGTTATAAACTAAATGGACGCCACCTAGAACTGAAGGACGGATATAAGTATCATTATTTAGCTTCATGATAAAGTATGCAGTTGTTCTCCAGTCTGAAAGAGGGATTTTCAGTTTGTCAACTAAAATGTGTCATTGATTATTTTACGGTATAATAGGATAACGGAAAACTTGTCACGGGTGGTGACCCCACTGAACGAAATCTAACCGCCATTGTGAAGCTGGAACGTGACAAAGCCAATCTGCTCACTCTCAAGAACGCGACACTGGGTTGGTTGATTCAAGGACACAACGGTACACAAGGCTCCAAAGAAAATTCGGAAGGCCTGTTTGAGAAAAATAGGCCCTTTTCCTATATACTTTCCAAATCGGTCCTGTTTCAATGCCAGCTTCTTACAGTCAGAGGTAGTCAATCCCGTTACTTTTGCAATGCATGCACCTTTTGTGTATACTTCCTTGAGAATGACGTATGGCATTTCTAGGGGATGGTCTTCAGAGCTACAGCTAACTTTGATTTTTTGATACGCTTTCATGTACCAGATCCACGCATGTGGCTTTTGTTATTACCTAGACGCTTCTATTGATCATACATTCATTAGAAGTCAATAAAAAGCCACATCGCAGGTGTACAAGCATGTTTGTGTTTTCGCATGATACACTACTCCAGATTGCTTCTCAGGCTTTAGCTGGTCTTTAATTTTCATGACTCTACCGCTTATGGTGGCCTTGGGACGGTGTGTCATTCCAACACTCATCCCCGTATCAATGCGTTTGAAAGCCAGCAGATGGTTTCTGTTAGAATCAAGAAGTTATGTGATGTTTGTCGTCTTCCTATAAACCGTCGTTTAAAGTTTACAGTTAAGGTTTCGTCTGGCAAACACATCCAGGAAGGGCAACTGCTGTTTCTGTTTTTCTTGTCTCGTGAATGCTATATCAGGGAAGACTGTGTTGAGCAGGTTGTGAAAATGTTGCAGGATGTCCTTCTTTACGGTAAGAAACATATCGTCTACTTAACGGTGTCGAAATACCGGCACTTGTTGGATGATGGCAGAGTTTTCTAACTCCTGTGGGACCAGTCCTGCGCTAAACCGGAGGCCACGTGTTCCGATACTGTTGGCATCTCTAACGATGGACTCCTACACGGGTTTGGAAGTTCAGAAAAATAACCTGAATGTTCCGGTGTTCGACCACCTATCTTTTTCACTTATACATACACCTGGAACTCTAACTTCCTCCTTCATTCAAGAATGCTTACGCTAAACTTATTTAGTACACTAGGTAAAAAGCCTGTGAAAGTAACGACTCATCGCATTTGTTTATTTCTGGGAATGTTTGAAAATGAATGCATATTATGAAAAGCAAACATCAGTCCGGCTCTCATTAAACCAGAAAATTATGCTACCTGCTCGAATGCCAATTTCGCACTGTTGTTTAAGTGACTTCAACTATTCTGAAATATTTGATCTTAAATTTGTTTTATTTCTAGAAGCCAAAATTGCGGAAGCACAAAAAGGAGTGTATGCACGAAGACAAACAAAATAAGAAAGAACTTCCCCAACACCAACAACCACAATTTTTCTGAGATTCTCTTATGTGTAATATAGAAAATCTATTTTCACGCCTGTCGAAAAGTTGTTTGGCACTTTTCGTTTACTTTTTCGCAAATATAGCACCCATTTCGCCTTTTGTTGTTCCAGATAGTTGTGATTCGCAGTTACTGCGATTATCAAAAAACGAACGCCAGCCAATTACTTTCAGTTCCATCTTCCTTAAAAAAGATATTAAATTGGCTGTGCTGTGGCTTCTATACCGTTATGGCAACCGCTATCGCATAACTAAATGAAACCGTATTATAATATTTTAAAGAAAGTGAATCATAGTAAAAAGACCCCAAATTGTTTTTTCCAAGTCTTGACCATCACGCATTTAGAAAGATAGACTCATCAACTCCTAACTTGCCACAATATCAAATAGTTCTTAGGTCAAAGGAAAGTTACGATATCTCTCAGGTTTCTCGAAAACTGTACAAATTCAGCTTATCTCCCCAGTGTCCGCAGTCTCACACGGACGGGCAAACAGCCTCCAGTGTCAAATTCGTGTTGAATGTTTTTTTGCATTTAAGGGTCCTGGAGCATCCTCAGGAGGGCATCAGTCAGAATATATAGTATTGCTCAGAAGCATGGTATAATAACGATAAAAGTATTCTAACAGGAAACCGATTTTAAATGCACACGCGGTGCTCCGCCGCGAAGTCCCACATGAATACTTTCCATTCACTATAATGATAGGCAAAACGAGTTACTCAACGTATTAAATTAGTATGGAGCGAAGATAAACTGCAATGACAGACGGTCTCATAAACTCTCGAGTAATGCAAGAAGTAACCTGGAAAAAGTCCGTAGGAAGATTATTATCCGCGTAGTGATGTCTGAAATCACAACTTTCCTGTGGGTTGATACTTGACAATTTTTTTACTCCGCCAACCCTAATATCAACCACTTTCACAAAACGACCTGAAAGAACGTACATATCAAATCGATAAGTAAAAGAGAAGGTTAGTGGGAAAATATTACCGACAACAGTTTATTCCAGTGACGAATTTCAGGCTCGTCGAAAGTACCGAAGGCCGATGCTATAACAGAGAATACACACTGGTGATTTGCATGTGGGTTTGACTATGGCCGGGCGGAATTCCGCAAATGCTCTCTTTCACTATTGGACTGACTTCAATGGCAGGACACAGCAAACATGGCTGCGAATGTGTGTGGACGCAATAACTGAAAAATTCCCACCCACTCTCACCCACGTACATGTTCATGTATTCCACACAATCGTAAACGACTAGCATCACATGAACTAGTCACAAATGAGGATGCCTCATGTCTCAAACCAACAAGTGCATTCAGAGCCAAAACTACATCCGTTCAATCCTTTATCCAAATTTGACTGATTTATTACCCTAGTTGGCGCTCTATCGAGCCACAAATCATAGACCGTCATAGTAAATTGGAAGCTGGTTTGACTTTATGCGATAGGAAATTTGAGTGTCACATCTAAACAGGAGTGGTCTCGCTACCTTTCTTCTTTCCCGTAGTAACAGAAGTTTTCAGTGGAACCGACGACAAAAATTAATGAGGGGAATGATTTGACGTAAATCGCCGTCCCACAAATTCATCCTACAAACGATACAAGCTGCAACGTTAATAAAAAGCCCTACTCCGAAGCAAATTTCAAAGATAAATCTCGTGGCTGGGAACAGCGGTCAGAAACTTTAGATAACCTGATTCATTTCCATTGCAAACTACTAAGGGCATCCGGAAATAATGCATGCTAGCACATATTAATGAAGAATGTTCATAAAACCAGAATCCGCATAAGGATAAACGCCGTCGCAAACATTGACGAAAACATAAATACGTGTTTGGTACATAGTCTAACAACGGTACGCATGCAGGTCAATTTAAAATCATGATCAACAACCACACAAACCGTCTTTTGTGATAGCAACTGAAGAATCAAAAATAGTGCACGACGACAATATCTTGAAATGAAGCGGACTCCCGACTGTTTTCTAAATAATGTCGACCATGTGAGATCAAGGGTTTAAAGACTGACTAACTGCAAAAGACTGTCGAAGAGCTACTGTTAATTCCAGCACAGGCGGACCTTGCTCCGTTTGCTCGATGCAAATGATAAAGTTGCAAATAACCCTCATGATGAGGCAACCGTCAATGCCCACACGGCTGAATACATGGCGGTTAGATTGTGATATCGGTGTGATCACTATTCATAATACCAGTTGAGTGGATGTCGGCCCACAAGGGATTCAACTGACACGTCTCCAGCCAATCAGAAAGCAGTGTGAACCAGACACTGCAGTGTTAGTATTCCTCTCCACCCTGTCATCCTGAAGTAAACCTACATGCAATGTTTTCCATTCCAGGCGCCCCTTGTCCTGACTCGCCTAGCAATGGTAGTAGTAATGGTGATCATTGCCGTCATTTGGACGACCGACAAGAAGAGATATTATTGGATCGAGGAAATGCCGCGCCTGGGCGTTTTTAGTGTTGGAGAACAGAATACTACTCGTCAAGAGACTGTCAAAGACGAAGTCCTTTGCCGTGGAATTTCCAACGAAAAGGACGCCACCGGTAAGAAGACCCTGTCTTCTCAAAATGGCCTTTGAGAGGGAGAGAGGGAGAGGAATGCTTTATTTTGAAAATAACATTCAAAACTTTCAGCAAAAAACGGTTTCCAGTACACAGTGATTATTATAGAGATTAACAGGTATTGGACAGGTGGACATAATTATATATGAAAAAAGGACTTTAAGGTGCAAGAGCAAGTTTTAACTTTTGTTTTACAGCATCTTTGCAGATGAGATACCGGGCTAGAAATGGCAGTATGGAATTCTGATAAGCCGAAGTGCGACATGGGATGTGGAGGAAGCATCGACGCATGGGATGTAAGGATTTCGCAGCCATTAACTCATTATGAAGGGGATGGACGGTGTCATTCAGAATTCGGTCAGCAAATTGTTCCACCGTATTGAAGTGTCGCTGCACGATGATCTCAACTAAAATATGATAGGAAACACCAGCAGCAGAGGCGAACATACGAATGACACGTTTAAAAATAATTAGATCTTTTTTAAGTAAAGCTGGAAAACCAACTGGAGAACAATAAAGAATGAGTGGAAGAGTACAGCCATCTATGAATCATCAGATTAAGGATTGGGGTGTATGATATAAACGTAGACGACGAATGTAATAAACAAGTTTTTGAATTTTTGTTAAAAGGGTTTCCATATGAAGAGAGAAAGAGAGATTTGAGGACAAAGTAACACTTAGGTATCGGAAAGATGATACCTCATTGCGAAGAATATCCAAAGGATCAGAAATGGGAGAGGATCGCAATCGAAACACACACTGTACTGATTTCTGATTGTTGAGTAGGAGTCCATTATTCGACGTACATTCCGTCTGACTCATTTCATGGTGTCAGCGGACAGAATGATCGAAAGACGGGCCATGATCTATCCCGGTATCATTGGCAGTGGCATTTGCTCAGCCAGTTTGTGCCCAGTCGCACAGAGGTACACGATCGAAATGCAAGCCTGCTCATCAAGCTGGCCGGTGTTAAAAGGAAGACTATGGAATGGCTGTAAGTGGAAGCGTGCAAACGGCCGCATACCAACAGCAGTCACGCCGTCAGTGTTGGGGGGGGGGGGTCAAACCGACTGCCCTGTGAAACATTGCATATCACGACGACGACATGTTTACCCGGCGGCTGTAAGCCGTCATTTAGAAGATTATCGCCTACTGCTGTTTGCCCTAGGTTCAGGTTTTCAGAGTTAGAGCAAGTAAGTATCAAAAGCTTCTAGTGACTCGCGAAATAAACTTGCATTACCGTAAAGAGCGCGAGCTGCAGACAAACTGATATGGGCAAATTCAAATGAGTGATTCTAATCGAAATATTCTGC